TGCCTTGGAAACCCAAGGAAGGGGTCGCTATGAGTCGGGGCTGACTCGATGGCAAATAACAACAACAACAACATTAATAAATAATATATAAGTATTTCTAAATTATTTTGTTGAGGATATGCTATCTCCCTTAACTTGAATGTAATTTTTTTACAAAAATAGCATTTTGTTTTAATTGTCTGGATTTTCAAGCTTCAATAGTCTACCAAAGTCTAGGCCAGTAGTTAGCTTAATAGTTCACAAACGTTGTTATATAGCTAGTGGCAATGTTGAAACATTCTAACATAGTAAACTCATTTTAATATTTTTATTATTGAAGTGATTTATACACACTTATACTCATGGGTAATTAGAACATACAGTTTGAACAAAAAGAATTGTTTCTAATCTTTTCACTCAAAAGATAACCAATGATATTTTCCAAAACTTTTCTTCCATGTGAAATTTGCTAATTCTTATGAGTAATTCAAGAATAGAATACAAAGTTGAGGTGTTAGTGAATAGTACGTTGTCATATTCTAACGAATACAAAACTTTTGTATGTCTCTGCTTAATTCTAGGTCTGTATCCTCCTACCAGTGGGAAGGCTTACATTAATGGATATGACACCTCAAAGGACATGGTCCAGATCAGGAAAAGCTTGGGCTTGTGTCCCCAGCAGGATCTGTTATTTACTTACTTAACTGTATCAGAACATCTTTATTTCTATTGTGTGGTAAGCCAAAAATATGTTCTTTTTCTCCAGCTTTGTTCATGTTCTTTAGGTAGATTAGTAATTTTCAGTATCTTTTTTCTTATCAAATTAAAAATTGAGTTTTAAGGAATTCTCCTTTAAACACAAAGGGAGGGAAGGGGAAGAAGACATTATATAAGTAATGGAAGAAATGCCTGGTTTAATTAATACATTTCGAAAAATAAAGTTACAAGCACCGTGTAAAATCTGGCTCCTCTTTCTAGATAAAAGGAATACCTCAAAAGCTACGTTCTATGGAAATCAATCATATGCTGTCTGCTTTTAACCTGCTAGAAAAGCGTGATGCATTTTCACAGTCTCTGAGTGGAGGAATGAAGCGCAAACTCTCCATCATTATAGCCCTGATAGGGGGCTCCAAGGTAAAAAAAAAAATGAAAAAATGAAAAGCATGAGCTAAAAATGGGTCACTGCTGCAACTGGTTTTAAAAAAATTCATCTGATGCAAACCTTAGAGCCAGTATAGATATACCACTCTAAAAGGAGCCTGCCAAGTAACATTCAGACAGGATTCACATTTTCAGTCCAGTTGTTACAATATGGTCACAGGGTTGGATTATTCCAGCATTCCTAATTGAGTTTTAGTCTAAACTTATTATCTTACCTTACTTAGTTGGACAAGTGACTGAAAAGAGTAAAACTAGAGTAAGCACCATGACTGGTAAAACACTAGTGACATAGCATTTATTAACGATAATCATGGAATTGTTCTTCCACTCTTCAGGTGGTGATACTTGATGAGCCAACTTCTGGCATGGACCCAGTATCAAGGAGGGTCACATGGGATCTCCTTCAGCAGTATAAACAAGATCGTACCATCCTACTGACCACCCAATATATGGATGAAGCTGACGTCCTGGGTGACCGCATTGCCATCATGGTCAGGGGAACTCTGCAGTGCTGTGGCTCTTCAATCTTCCTGAAGCAAATATATGGTCTCTTTTCCTTTGATCATTCTTAGGACACTGATGTCTTAATATTCTTCTAAAATGATTATTACTTTTTGTCTCTCTACACAAAACTTCAGTGGCACAACTATTTAAAGCTTTTCTTTATTTTAGTTATTCAAATCTAGTTTCAACTTTTATGTTTATCATATTATCTGACATTAATTTTATTTCTCCCATCTGGCTTCTTCTGAAATTATAATTTGAATGAATGCAGTTCAGTTACCCTGCCAATGAAATTTGATAATTAAGCAGGCAGGCAGACAAATAATGGGTAGACAGACAGGTAAATTGATAGGAACAAAACTAGTTCCTTGCTTCTTTTTTGTCAAATTGGTACTAAATCACCTCTATCTAC